CAGGTGGTTGGAGGAGGGGCAATGGCAAGGGTTAGGGGAAGGGGATGCCGGGATGGGTGGCTGGGGAAGGAGGAGGGAGAAATTGAATTTTTTTTCATTTTAATTTTTTATTTTATTTTTATTTTTTGGACCAATTACAGGCCGCCACGTGTCACTTTTTAAGTTAAAAAATCGAAAAAAGTCAAAACTAACGTTTTTTAACGGAAAGAAAACGGTAGGTGTATTGCTGATAACTGTATGAAACTTTGGGTGTACCACTGATAAAGAATAAATGAGTAGGTGTACCATTGAGAAAGGCCCAAACCTTGGGTGTACTATTGATAATTTCCCTTTATTTTTTAACTTTGTTTAACATCTTTTAATCACACTCAATTTTTCACCTTTTTCCCACTCTTAAAAGGGAGCCCTCAATTTTCTACCTTTTTCCCATTCACTTTTAGCCCACCCAAAAACAAAAAATTAAGGGACCACTTCTTTTCCTCCTTTTTCCCACTTAATTAAACCCACCCAAACTTAATGATACTCCACTAAAAGTTTTGCCTAGAAATCCGTAAAAAGGACGTTTAGTGCAGATAATCGTGGGCAGAGGGAGTAATTAAAATTTATCAATTAAACACCTCTGTATTTTAATTAAAGTGTAGCTTTGTTGCTAACTCACCTTCCAAGCTACAACCATTGTAAATACCTCAATGGTAAGCTACAATTTTATTTAGTTTTGATGGGAAAAGGCTAAACAAATGTTAATAAAAATATAAAAAAAAATAGATGCTATCAAATAAGGAATGAGGACACAAAATTGGCCTTTTTAGAGTTTCTACAATACAAACCATACTAAACCTTTCGTCTCCTGTACACACCATTTAATTTGCTCTAATATTTTTTTTCTCGGTAAGTGTGAAATCATGTAGGTAACTAGGCATGCAGCTTCATGCTGCATGGTTTTACAAAATAAAAACTCATTTATCACTATACTGTCAAGCAACAAGCTCCGTCTATTAAAAATTTACAAGATCCTACCCTACTAATATTGGTGCTCTAAACCTGGGCACGGGCCGCGTGCCGCCCGGCACGGCCCGCCGTTCGGCACGGCCCGAAGTCAAGCACGGCACGGCACGAAGTTCAACTTCCGTGCCACGGGCCGTGCCACGGACACGGTTGAGAATTCCCAGGCACGGCCCGGCACGAGCACGGGCATGGCCCGCCGTGCTGGCCCGCAGGCACGGCCCGCGGGCCAACGGCTAGTTTTTTGCCAAAAATTCTATAAATACTCACCTCCATTTCATTCCCAAATCACAAAATCACAATCTCTTCTTCTTATCTCTTATATTCTCTAAATCTCTAATAATCCTTATTTTCTTAAATTCTCTAATTATTCTCTTAAATTCTCTAATTATTTTCCTAATATCGGAAAAAATTAAAAAATTCGTAATCGTAATTAGTGGAGCGTTGAAGCACGGTTGTAAGATCTAAACTAATCTTAAATTTATTATTGTTTTATTGTTATTATTAGAATAATCTTGTTTAATTATTATTGTTGTTAATTGTTATTGTTGTTGTTATAATTGTTGTTATTAATTATTATTATTGTTACAATTGTTGTTATTATTTATTTTTGTTGTTATTTTTATTGTTATAGTTGTTGTTATTAATTAATATTATTGATATTTTTATTGTTAAAATTGTTGTTATTAATTATTATTATTATAGTTAACCACTTTTTATTAAAAAATTAATTGTTAATTATGGCATCGAACAACCCATCATCTAGGTCTAGGGGGAAAGGCCGACTTATCCGTAGTAGTAGTTCTAGGGAACCACCAAATACAACGAGCCCCCAAATTACGAGTCAAACCAATGACCCCATTTACTTCCCCCCGGGCTATGAGCCATATAATACGTCGGGATTTCCAGCACCACCACTAAACCAATTTCCACTACCACCATACCAATTTCCACCTAATTATATCGGTAATCAACAAAACTATTGTTCTAGCCAAGGTAGCCAAGAAAGTACCCGAATTCCCTCCGGTTCTACCCCTTCTACTGCCACTCCCACTAGTCCCACTACTAACCATCACACACATCATGAATGGTTAACCGAAACTGAGATGCTACTTTTGAAAAACCGAAGGAGTGAGGTATGACGTTATTTTGTCCTAAGTAAAGATGGTGAACAATGGGCAAAATGTAAAACATGTAATAGTGTATTCACGGCAGTTACCAAAAACGGGACGGGACACTTATCTAGACACATGAAAGCTTGTGCAAAACCAGCTAGTGATCCAACCCAGCCCAAAATTTCCCAATTCCATCCATACGGCTTTACATACAACTATGAGAGGGATAGGGATGAACTAGGAAAAATGATAGTACACGCCGAACAACCTTTTCTTTTCTCGGAAAGTGACGCATTCAACACCTACATTAACAAAGCACTACAACCCCAACATAAAAGAATCTCTAGGAAAACAGTTCGTTCCGCCGCAATGAAAAATTTCCTAGGGTACAAAGTCCGGTTACAAGCCGAATTGAGTAACCTTAACTGTAGAGTATCTTTAACAGCCGATTCTTGGGATAGTGGTTATAAATATCACTATTTATGTGTGACTTGCCATTGGGTAGATGATCAATGGATGTTACAAAAAAGAATAATACATTTCAAAATGCTGGAATACCCACACACCGGCATTAACATTGCTCACCATTTAATGCAAGCAATAGACGAATACAACCTTCGAGATAAAATGATGTCTATGACTTTTGATAATGCAACCTCTATGACATACACAGCTAATCTTATCAAACAAAACTTAACCGATGTACTATTAGACGGTGAAGCTCTTCATACTAGATGTGTTTGCCATGTACTTAACTTATGTGTACAGGATGGAGTTCGGGCAATTGGCCCATACTACAGCAAAATCAGAGATGCTATTATGTCTATTAATAGCTCTAACATGAGATACCAAGAATGGAAGAGTTTTCTAAAACAACAAAAGATAAGGGTAATAAAAATTAGAACCGATTGCCCAACTAGGTGGAATTCCACCTATGACATGTTAACAAAGGCAATTGAGTACAAGGGCCCGTTAACATTATTTTACAACCAAAAATTTCCACAAAATGCTTTGTATGATGATGATTGGAATAACTGTGAAAGATATATGCAATTTTTACAGTTATTATATAACATGACGTATTGTTTTTCTACTGTTTACAATCCTTGTGCTCAAAACTTTCTTTCTAATGCATGCTTACTCGCCCAACTTTTCGCTGATCATCGCGATCAAAGTGATTATGATCAGTATCTTCCAGCAATGGAAAAAAAGTGGCGTAAATATTATAGTGAGATTCCTTTGATTTATATTTTTGCTTCCATATTAGATCCTAGGCAAAAGTATGAAAACACATTTATGTTAGTTGACATTTACTTTCAATGCATGTTTCTTGACGATGATGTAGAAAACTATAAGACTAATGTGAAGGATCAGTTTTTTGCTTTATATAGAGTCTATGAAGCCAAATATGGCACCGTTCCTCGCTCAGGGCCTTCCCAACCATCCAAAAACGTAAGTAAGAAGGCCAAACATTTATTTTCACAAGCTACTAACTTGATTTCAAGGTTTTCAGGTGATTCATCAATCAGGAGAACGCAAAGCGACGTCTCGGAGTTGCAGATGTACCTGAGTTACGACTTCACCAAAGGCATGGACGACGATGAGATAAACAGCCTCGACCTCCTTGCATGGTGGAAACAACAAAGCTCGAAGCATCCAACTTTGGCGGCAATGGCACGAGACATTCTTGCTATCCAAGTTTCCTCCGTCGCCTCCGAACGAGCTTTCAGCGCATCCGGAAGGGTTTTAGACGATAGAAGAACAAGTCTAAAACCCGAAACACTAGAAATGTGCGTGTGTTTCAAAGATTGGTTGGATGCGGAAAATCGCTCACAAGACCGTTCTTACGACCACAACGACAACGAAGAAGGAACCTCTGCTTCCGGTTCGGGTTCGGCTAGTTCCCAATCTATGCAACTAGCCGATGACCTTGAAGGCGAAGGCGAAGACGAAGACGAAGACGAGCAAGAAGAAGGAGAAGAAGAATAGACAATTATTGTATATTGTACGATTTTAAAAATATCAATTTTATCATTTTCCAATTTTTGTTTAATACCATCATTGTATGATTTTTATCATTGTTATCATTGTACAATTTTCTCAACTCAAGTAATAATAATATAAAGTACGCATTATTCACATCCAAAGTCCAATTTGCCTTTTTTCCCCGTTTTGTTACAATTTGTAAATTCATATTAAAATAAAATAAAATTATACCAATTACTAATAAATCATAAACATTAAATTTTAAAGTAATAGTATAAAGTAAATATATAAATATAAATATTGAATATACAAATTATAAAACATAAATATTCAACTTATAATTATAAAATTCATAATTTAATAACTTATAACTTATAAGTTATAAACTTATAAGTTACCTTATAAAACTTATAAGTTATAAACTTATAAGTTACCTTATAAAACTTATAATTATAATTTTATAACTTATATACATTATAAACTTATTAATTTATAATGTTGTCATAAAAAAAAAAATAAAAAAAAAAAATAAAAAAAATTGAAAACTGCACCAGCCCGCAGGCCGGCACGTGGCCGGCACGACACGAGCCCGCCAGGCACGAGGGCCGTGCCGTGCCGTGGGCTGGCCTGTGAAAATGGCCGGCACGGCACGACACGAAATCCTGGGCCCGCCGGCACGAACCAGCCCGTGGCCCGCCAGGCACGACCCGCGGCGGCCCGGCACGGCACGGTGCCCAGGATTAGTGCTCTTGATTACAACTTTACAAGCATACAACCAAGGCAGAATCCATACATTATTTTCATGAGCTAGTCTATCTAATCTAAAACTTTTACCTAAATAAATGAAAACATAACTCTATTAATTGTTAAAAAAAATTACTGGCGATAAAATCTCACCAGCCCTCCCTTTGTCTTGTTGGTTAGGATCTTTCCAGATCTTTAACCAGGTCAGGGGTTCGAGGGTTGGTAGGAGGAGAAAGAGAGAAAGAGTTGAAAAAATGTCAGAGGTATTTCAAAATACCTCCTTTTTGTTTTTTTCAACAAGAAAGAAAAGGCTTATCCAAATTCTGAGCTTCCACTCATTCATTCATTCATTCATTCACCCTTAATCACTGATTCATTAACAACCCACGTTGCCCGCCCTTTTTCTATCTCCTCAAACTTCACCTTCTGTTCCAGGTTCTCTCTTTATCTCTACTTTCTCCTTTTAATTTCATTCTTTGTTCATTTATCTGTAGAATTATATGTCTATTCATTTTATAATCTTGATGTTATTTATATATGTGTATGATAACTCGCTTAGTTGGTTAAAGTTTTTGGAGGTATAGATTTCGTTTATACATCACTGCCCGACTTTCTATATGCCAATTTAATAAAATATTAGTGTGGGATTTAATTTTTTGTTATGTATCCTATGAAAAACTCAAAAACCCCATTAAATTGCTTTGTTACTTATTATTTTGTTGAATTTGATAAATAAAAGAAAGAACAAAAAAAAATTCTTCTTTGATTGATTTTGGGACTTTGTGATGTGGGTATATGTACAATTCATCTAATTGTTCTGTATTTGGTAGGTAGGTGACAGTTAAGTGGCTAAGAGAAGATAATTACTGAAGAGCGCCTAAAAAGGGTGTCTGGCATTGCTAGATTTGGCTTTTTTTGAATTATGGAATTTTGTATATAAGTTGGATTGGTGATAGTGTTGCAAAGAATAATTAACATGGCATTAGTTGCACGATCGATATGTTTATCCTACGACGATTTTGCTGGTATGTGCAACAATGTTTCACACCCGAATTTTAAGAAATGGGTTCGATTGAGGAAGCCATTTCTTGTCCAAGATGATGTTAGAATGAAGATAGGGTTTAATGAGAGGAAGGTTTCATACAGTAAGTTTATTGGAGCTTCAAAAAAATTCCATCATCGAAATCCAGCAAAATCAGGTCTTATTTCATGTGGGTGGGAAGTGAAATCCTCGAAGGTTATGTCCAATGCCGTCATTCCTAAGGTACTAAACGCTGTACGTGTAGGATAGCTTTAGTTACGTTAGGTGAGGGTAGCTGATTCTAACAGTTTCTTACTGAATCTTTACCAGAAATGGGATCTCTTGAAGTTGAAGGTTGTAGAAGTGACGGCTGTAGTTGCGTGCACATTTTTGGTCATGTCTCCGGCACAAGCTGTTGATGCTCTTAAAACTTGTACCTGTTTGCTGAAGGAATGCAGGTAAACAATATTGAACCATGTTTCTGGTGATCCTGAAATAGTGAAATCAGAGAAACTATCTTTTGAGCTAAACCAATTTAGAGGGAACAGAATATGGCATGTGCAGTAATTCCTTTGTAATTCATAAAGTTTGTTCTTGGTAGACTTAACTTATACAATAACATGAAGCAGTAGTACAAGAAACTTGATGTCTAGACAATATGTCATGTGAAAACATAGGGATCACGACAAAAGAACATTGCTTTTCTCAGGCTAGATAGAGGGTATTGGTTTTCTAGTTACTGTGGGTTATTGTTGTTGATAGTTTGTTTAAAAGATTTGCACCTTTGTCTGATTTGTTCAATATTCTGAGTAGAGTTGAACTCGCCAAGTGCATTGCAAATCCATCTTGTGCAGCCAATGTTGCTTGCCTGCAGACCTGCAATAATAGGCCTGATGAAACTGAATGCCAAGTAAGTTCTTAAAAATATCTATTGGTTGAACTCAGACCCTTCTCTACTTCAATAGAAAGAGATCAACTCACATAAACTTATATTTGTATATCAGATCAAATGTGGGGACTTGTTCGAGAACAAAGTCGTCGATGAGTTCAATGAATGTGCAGTCTCTCGAAAGAAATGTGTGCCTCGGAAGTCTGATGTTGGAGAATTTCCAGTTCCTGATCCTAGTGTGCTTGTTAAGAGCTTCAACATAGCAGATTTCGATGGGAAGTGGTTTATAAGTAGTGGTTTGAACCCAACATTCGACGCTTTTGATTGCCAGTTACATGAGTTCCATGTGGAAGATGGGAAGCTTGTTGGAAACTTGTCTTGGCGAATAAAAACACCAGATGGTGGATTTTTCACCCGTTCTGCTGTGCAGAAATTTGTGCAAGACCCCTCCCAACCGGGGATACTGTATAATCATGACAATGAATATCTTCACTATCAAGATGATTGGTAAACTTTTACTACTCCTTGAGTATATATGCTTTTTGAAAGTAAATTCCATCCATCTTTAGCTTGAAGCATTTTGAAACTCTGAGACAGGCTTTCTTTAATGGGTGTTATTTTTCTTGTCTGCTCAACCATGACATTCGTATCCATGGTTTTGAAGTTCGTTGCTTAACTCAGACTCACAATCCTAGAAGCATACATTAGGGACATTGGAGAGGAATAGCATGAGAAGTTGACACTAAAATGTTATGCTCCGTACTATTTTAACTTTGAGAATGATAAAGATAGAGTTTCTTTATTGTGGGTTAAGATTCTAACTGTTGACATTATTTTAAGTCAATTGGAGTTATGAGTATCATTAGTCAATGAAAGTTAGCTGTATTATTCTGATAAAGTATTTTAGCCGGGAGCTTTATTGTCATGTAGGTACATCCTATCTTCCAAAACTGAAAATCAACCAGATGACTACATACTTGTATATTACCGAGGCAGAAATGATGCATGGGATGGCTATGGTGGCGCTTTTCTTTACACAAGAAGTGCAACTGTGCCTGAAACTACTGTGCCAGAACTTGAGAGAGCAGCTCAAAGTGTTGGACGAGACTTCAATAAATTCATCCGGACAGACAATACCTGTGGGCCTGAGCCTCCGCTTGTTGAGAGGCTGGAGAAGAAGGTGGAGGAAGGAGAGAGAGAAATCATTAAGGAAGTAGAGCAATTTGAAGGAGAGGTGGAAAAGGTTGGGAAGACTGAGATGACATTGTTTCAGAGGCTAACAGAAGGTTTTAAAGAACTTCAAAGAGATGAGGAATACTTCCTCAAAGAATTAAACAAGGAGGAAAAGGAATTACTGGATCAATTACAGATGGAAGCGGGCGAGGTGGAAAAACTCTTTGGACAATCATTGCCCATAAGGAAGCTTCGGTAAAATTTGAGGCGAAGGTAACGAGCTTGTCAAATTGTTTGTCATTGTTCGAAATGAACCTATACTTGAAAAGATTTTAAATACTTTTACTGGTTTTTTTCTTGCTCACATACGATTTGTTAGATAATGAAGGTTCATATTCTTTTGTGTATAACTTGGATCTTCAGAGTATCCGATAGATCTGCTTCTTAAACTTCAAAAGAATTCCCGGTGTAAGAAAATACTGGGAGAAAACATTGAAGAAGCAATTTTAAGCTTTCCAATACTCCATTTTATTTGTATTTATCCACAAAAACTAACAGATCTTCGAAATCATACATTTGTGTTCTGGGGCAGAATCTAATGTATATATTTGTACTCTGTGTTAGCAGTCAGACAATAGAAATTCTTTACTTTCTTTGAACATGAAAGGTAGAAGATGAAAGAAAATAGAGATTGATTGTTTCAAAAACTGAAAAGTGAAAACTCGCTTAGTAAACAACTTCAGAATTCAGAATGCTACAAGGCGTACAACTGATGTGCACAGCACTACAATGTATTTTATTAAAGTAAACAAAATTGTCATTGTGCTCACCCTTCTGCCTACATGCCTAGCACTTCTAACAATTTCAGTACAAAAAAGGCCAATTCCATATATAGATGCTTACAAAATATCAAGTTTTTCAAGAGGAGTCAAGACATAAGGGAAGAACTAGAAGGACAAAGGAATGGTGTCGTAATTGGATCAAACAAACACAAGTTGTAAGGAAACTTGGAAAGAAATCTTGCAACCAAGATCTGGCATTTGCCCCTCACTCAAAATAGCATGATTCCAAACTCCTCAATGCCTGATGCTTAGGGTATAACTTGAGAATACGATGAAAAGAGAGACAAACTGTTAACTTTTTTACCAGCCAAAAAAAGCTCTTTTTGTCTATGCTCAACAATCAGTTTTAGAACAATAAGATGGATAGCCGTATAATGCATTAATGCCTTCTCACGAATATCACCTGGTTTTAAGATGCCGTAGCTGTGGACTTTCTTTATGAGGTTGCTCAAAAACTCGATGATTATCAAATCTGTCTGGGCTACTGGTGGCTTGTTCTTGGAATCCATTATTCTGTAGAGGAATGTGCGTGTCTTTCATGTGTTTTGGAGACCCATTTTCTTCCTCAGATTCACTGCTGCTTCCTGAGCTTGAGGAACTTGAGCTTGGTTCTTGTATATGTTGCTGCTGTTTTTGTTGTTGTTGTTGTTGTTGCTGCTGCTGTTGTCTGACATCTGTAGCAGCAGAAAGTACTGTCTGATTATTACTGTCTGAATGGCTATTTTCTCCTTCCGGTTTTCTAGTACCATTTTTCTTCGCACTTAAACTTGGTTCCTTAAATGTCACAACTGGCTTTCTTCTACGAGAACCTTTAGCATATGTTGGTGAAGATCTTCTACTACTTCCATGTTTCGAAGATCTATATCCAGCATCAGATTGCATGCTGCTGTCAGTACTTCGGGCCGAGTGCAAACTGTAATTAGCAATTGAATCTATTGATCTTTCTGGATCTTCAAGCTCTGTGGTTTCAGCATCATCATAATTGGTATTACCACCTCCACTATCTGAGTCTGATGTGTAAATGATGTGTTCCTCTAAAGTATCAAAGCTCTGTCCTCTCCCTGAATATAGACTACTACAGTCTTTCTCTCCCAATTCTACTTTTTGATAACTTCCTCCATTCCGCTGATCAGAACCACTTTGGGTACTCTCACTATCATCATACCGTAAACTGTCATCTGATTGGGACGGTTTATTCTTTTTGGTCTCAATTTCATAGAGCATCTTCTGCTCTGATGGCGGGGCATTTGCTGGTGTGGCTGAAGCAGGAGCAGTACTTGGTTGAGGTACTGCCAGGAAACTAAGAGCAGCAACAACATCACCAATCAAGGGTCGGACAGATGATTCTTCTTGAAGGCACATTGCACAAATTCCAACTGCTTGGTTTAGACTTGTCAGTGGAAAATTGTTATTTAGTCGTGGGTCTGCCAAATCTGAAAATCTTTTAGGATCCCTAAATATTGGTTGTGCCTGATGATACAGTTACAAATAAATCAGGTCAGGATAATTCGTCACTTTTGTCACCCTAAATCAGAGTGATTAAATAAAGCTTACCCATGTAACTAGATTTTGCTCATCATTTGGTCTAGTCGTGTCAATGGCTTTTCGTCCAGTGAGAAGCTCTAAAAATACAACTCCAAAGCTATATATGTCAGATTTGAGCGTAAGCTCACCACCACTTGAATACTCAGGTGCAGAATAACCGTAAGTTCCCATTACCCTTGATGTTGGGTTTACCTTACCTCCACCTGCTCCAAGCTTGGCAAGACCAAAGTCAGACAGTTTTGGTTCATAGTTTTCATTTAGTAGAATATTTGATGGTTTTAGGTCACGGTATATGATAGGGGGATTGGCCTTGTCATGCAAATACTCGAGTCCATTGGCTGCACCCAAAGCTATTTTCATCCTGGTGTACCAATCCAGTGGTTTCTTGTCAGGATCATCACCTGCAATTTGCAGAAGTTACAAAGCATTAAGTTGTGAAAGATGTTTGCACTATACAAGTACTAAAAGCAAAGAAAAGAAGAAAAGTGACTGCAACAGCTATTATGAATCCTGCAGCTTCTGCATATATATTAAAATGATGCAGAAGGCAGGAAAACCAGTAGAAGAGAAGATAGGATACTGATTAACCACTAGAAGGATGCAAAGTCAATTTACCAAACAATAGATTCTCCAGAGATCCCATCTGCAGATATTCATACACCAGAAGCCTCTGATCTCCGTCAGCACAGTAGCCAATGAGACTGACCAAATTCGCGTGTTGGATCAGACTGAGCATCAGGACCTCAACAAGAAACTCCTTATTTCCTTGCATTCCATTTCTGTCTAGCTGCTTTACAGCAACAACCTACAGCAACCAACCATTAAAATGAGGTCAACAATCGACTAGATAAGAAAACAAATCCAGCAAAGAAAGGGAATTTAGGACACCGGTTAGTGATTACCTGGCCAGAAGACTGAAGCTTCCCTTTGAATACTCTTCCAAATCCACCTTCACCTAAAAGACATTCCTGCCGGAAATTTTTTGTTGCCATTGCCAGCTCCCGGAAGGTAAATGTTTTTGCTACAATAAGATATGTAAGGAAATTTATCATTAATTTTGCTGCAGCAAAATAATGAGGGAGTTTTGTTTCAAGTAATGATCCTAGTTGAGAAACTGCCTAAGATTGATATAGTAATAGATGATCTATCATCTATACTTATCCTTCAATACATACATTGAAGGATAATTCTGGTTATTTACGTAGTACATGTTTGAGGAGCACAAACCTAAACATAGTACATTACAGCACTAGAAACTAAAGCTTTGAAGCTGTGAAAATTTGTCTAGGATATACAAAAATGCCAGATATACTGATAAGATGAAGCCATGCTTTATATTTAGCAGAACCAACCTTAGAAACCCTTTAATGTCATAAGTCAACCTTCCACTAAAAGGAGGCTAGTTCCCTCATGGCGCGTAATAAATTAACTCATTGAGCTATTAGGTGACCTCAAATCCTCTTAATCATCCAACATGTAGCTACAAAACCAACACTAGAAGCTAAGTTTCTACTATGAAATAGTCTGTTTTTGTCATCTACCCTGAAACATAATTGTATGGATATCACCTAATCCCCACTAGCTCATCCAATAAAATCTCTAACACAGAATTTCATAAACAATAAAGCAGAATGTGAACAGATATCTTGAACAGAGGAATCATGTCAAACAATCAATTTAGTACAATGTCTTCAAATGCTACCCAGGGCCGTAGAAGAGGGAGTGCAACAAAAAACTACAAGAGAGGAAGGAGAGAAAGGATACCTTTCGACGAAGAAGTAACTGCCTCTTTGGGTTCAATATGAGCAAGACTTTCTATCTTAGGAGGAGGTGGTGGAGGATCAGTGGGTTCTTCGTCGTCATCCTTGTTGAAGCACGGTAGGCAATTCATGTCGATCACTCAGACCCCTGATCCCCGTTTTCGTCGTCGTCAAATATGATGATTTTTCTTTAATCTCTAAAGAGAAAGGAAAAATCCCAGAATCCCAACAACTCAGATTCATCCAAAAACAACCAAGTTCCTTCCAATATTCAGAATCTGATTATAACCATCATTCATTCCGATGACACAATACATCACAACCCAAAATTCAAACCATGTCTAAACAAAAATCACAATAATTCTATCTTGTTCAGATGAATGTAGGTAGAACAACGAAGGGCCTCCGACGGTGAACGGGCAAAGAAGGACCTCAATCAAGCAATCAAAACCAATGAAGAAAGGAAAAAAGACATTGACAAAATTTGTTGGGGGTGTGAAAAGTCCCGAATCTTGGGATGATGAAAAAGTTTGGTTATTTTTTTTTGGGAAATTTTTTTAGGAAATCATCCTGAGAAAAATAAGGAAGATATGGGTGGAGTATGGTGGTAGACATGCATGCACGCTCTAATTGTCTCAATTATGTAAATTAGTTTCAATAATATTATATGAATTATAATAATTGTATGAAACCAAGCCGTTGAAATTCAAAATTCTGGTATGTTTTCTTAACTCCCTCCCACTCTTTTTTCCAACAAACCACCCCTAGCCAAGTCACCCCACTATTAATTCTTCAGGAGTTGTCTTTTATTTGTTACATTTACACCTGATATGTATCATGGGACAGGGTCATGTTTGTATCAATCAAACCTGTAATTTTAGGTTGGAAAAAGTGGGTTTTCCGAGGCATTTTTGAACTAAGTTGAAAATTTAACCAAAATATTAGTTTTAGCGAGTCGCTAATCTTAATTAGCTCTACTTAAATCAACATATTAACTTATCTTATTGGCATTTAAATATAAGTTACTACATAATATTTTTACGCAACATTATTGTCTGACGATATCATATGATCATTTACGATAGAAAAGCAAGTGTTAAAAAAATTGCAATGGTTCAAGTCACGTAAAACAGACAAAGTAATGAAAGTATGAGGTATGACCAAAGTTAGAGCAAGCTATAAAAGCCGGTTCAATAATTTTCTTTTGGCCAAGTGAGTTTGTAGCATTCTTTCAAAAAAAAAGAGAAAAAAAAAAAGGTGAGTTTGTAGCATACCATTTGTTACTAATAAAAGAACATAAAAAAGAAAAGATAGTTATCACTTCTCATTGTCAATCGATCAAACATTAGGATACACCAAATCAATACTGATACAAATCTGAACAAAAGGCAAACTTGCCCTACTCAATGGGTTAGTGTCCGCTATCCATGCTGCTGTGACTCCGAAGAGTCCGAACACAGCACCTTTAGATGTACCTTTAGGCATCAGTTGGGTAGTTTTTTGTGTGAACCCTAAATGAAAGACTTTTAAAGAAGATATACAGCATAATCTATAAGTGTAGTTAAATACAGTAAATAATGATTTAACAATCTGATCAATACCCCAACTTCATGTCCAGATCTCGGATTAGTCACCCAAATAATTTTACTGTACAACTAGTTGTAACATGGACGGACATGAAATCAAACACTGGAATCTGAGATACATAGTATAATTTATTTACAAATGCAAGGATATACAATACAGGCAATGTATACACAGAAGAGAAATGTTAATGATAAAACAAATATAGATCAAGTTCAAGATAAGCAGATTTAGATACTTTCATTTGAAGAACAAAGTTTTACATTGAGTAATCCCAATAATCAAAGGCAGCAGTAGTTGAGATATTTAAGGTGTTATCATTTGATATACATCAGAAAAGTTACAACTTCGAAATATTCTTAAAAGTTTATTTCCCTTTGTGACAACTTCTTCCCATCAATTAGAATACATAAAACCATCAGGGGTCATTTCTGCAAGTGTGGAAAACATGCACCAATGTCGTGTTTTGGGTGCTTATTTTCAGCATGCTCGCGGCATTTCACCTCTGTAGTAGTACACATAAATGTCTGCATGCATACCTTGCACTGAATTCACCAATCAAATGTTAAGACCAACAAATATACATTCTAAGAGGGCTCAGTAACTTTTAAAACGTAACATCTACGAAGTATCAACAAAGTCCTATCTAAAACAATGATACTGCAACATGACACTGACTACAACTCCCAAACATCTACAGAAACACCAAACATAAAGCCACACACAAACAAGCAAAAATTAAAGAACAATACCCCCAACTATAGAATCATTTAAATTCTTCCAATCACCATATTTAACAAGTAGCAGATGCAGCTTCCCTCTGGCATCATCAGTTCTCAATGATAAGAAAGCAAAAGTGTTGATTCAATAACAGCAAGGATGCATATAAAATATGCAGAATGCCTGTTAAAACATGTTCAGCATAATTTGTATTCAGAATAACAAACTCATTTACACAAACCATTCTCATGTTTGCAAAGACCAGGAAACACTGCCAAATTTGTGGTGTTCTCCGACATTACTAAGGAAAAATATATTGTGGTAAAAAATTTAACAATAAATATAAAAAGAAAAATACAGAGCTCTATGTCATCCCAATATATCAAATGCAGCAAAAACAGCAGTGTAATTTTTGCAAACAGAGTTACCATAAAACATGACCTATTTAAATAGATTCTTTGAGCTCATTGTTTTAAATAAGAAGAATAACCTACTTACGAGCATAAACACATCGATTAACATTGAAAGCCTCCTCCTCTCAGTATATAGCCAAATCTAAAGGGCGCATGCAGTATAACTGATGTAAGTTTAACCTTGCATGAAGTAATTAGGTAAGCATAAAGAATTATGTATAAGCTGCTAGCTAACCTAGGCTGGACAGCCAATATCTTCCTCTTTGTTCAGAAGAATGATAAATGTCTACTCATAAAGAAATGTTGTACCAAAAATCCAAGATAGCAAATAATCATCGGAAATGATAAAAGGTTGAAGGCACACTTTAGCACTACGTATATCCAAAGATAAGCTTAATTTCATACTACAAGTCTACAACCAAGCAAAAACTTCACGACCACACCACCCCACCCCACCCTACCACCCTTCTCAAAGCAACAGCACAACATCAACTTCAATAGGCAGCTTGTAGATGGATAAATCAGCTTGTTAGTGGAGCAGCATCACTGGACTATGGTTGATTATCTAATAAATGCAGAATGCTTCTATCAGATTCACTTAGTTCAGAACTTTTTAGCGCATCTGATAGTACGATGTCTACTACAAGACGGGGGGTGAATTGTAGTATATAGAGAATAGCGAACATTTTGCGGAATTAAACAATGTAAGAAAAGAGAGAACACATGATATAGGCTTTTCAAATATTTTCACTATGTAAAGACTCTTTAACAAAGGTGAAACTTCTGCCTACACTTAGGTACACAAGTATCCCAGCTCAGTCCCTCTACCGCAGCTTAACTCTCTTATATGATTCGACTCTGAATCACTTACAACCCTCTAACAAACTCACTCAAGTCTCTTAGTTACAATTCTCTCAAACCCCAATCCCAAATTACAAAAGTAATTACAAGACTTTTCCTAATGCACTAGAGAAGATTAAGACATAAAGGAACTCATCACTCTTTTATATTGAACGTGAAAGCTCTTAGAAAATTTAAGCTCAATGAACTGAATGTTTCTCGTTGTTGTCCATTGTACTTCAAATCAGAATCTGTTGCATGCTTTTTATAGAGAGATGAGAAGCCTCAACCATGTTCCCACTCCTCCCATGATCTCACGTACACCTTAACTTTGGGAGCGTTGAGGAAGTGAGGAATATGGTCTCCCTGACTTTTCTCTCTCTCAAGCATTCAACGGCTTCCTTAAAAATAGGTAACAACTTTTACTTAGTCTAATAATCAATTAAAGATATCTATTAAAGATATTTATTATTTTAAAAAGATAAAACTTTAAATAATTATTTAATCTTAAAATAAAAAACTTATCTTTTAATTAAACAATTATTTATCTTTTATTTATTTACAGAAAATATATCTCTTTAAATTCTGATTTTATTTTATCCTTTAATTAAGGAATAAAAACTGATTTAAAGTCTTACGTAAACATTTTCTGATTAAAACATTAAGTTCCTTACTAAGTTCTTTTCTGCACATAAAAACTCTAGTGCTTACAGTGAATACTAAGGATTGGAATTTGTCTTCTTCATCTTGAAAGCTTGCATACGAATATCGAAGCTTCCAATTTAGTTGCTCCTACTCCGGTATAGATATTATTATCGCCTGAATCTTTCCATTCAACCAAAGACTATCAAACACCATTAGTCAAAGCTTGTTTGTTTGTCAATAATCAAAATACCAAGAGGGTAACTGACTAAAGACTTATTAACGCACTAAAAGACTTAAAGAAATAAACCAAAGACCTTAGACATTCAGAGTATATATTATATTAACAGGAAACTTAGCATAACACTTGAAACATACCTCATGAATCGTTGAGCCTGGTAATGGTAATACTTTAGCCTCCATGAAGTTTGTCCTTTTCCCCCTTTTGGCACTATCAAAAGAACAGTATGCTATACTCCCACTACGCTACGGAGGGGGTAGTAAGCTCATATATAGCATAGTTAAGGCAAGTTATATACCAAGCAAGAAACATTATGCACATCATTCCTTCTCGTCCACCTCCTTGAAAGCAACTTTGTTAATAGTCTCAAGGATTTCCTTGTGACTTGCTGTAATTCTAGCCTCAGCAGCTGCAATTCGTTTATCTTGTGCCTCGATCATGATTTTCACCTGCTCTTGAATTTGATCACCCATAGTCTTCACCATTCGAGCCATGTCATCCAACTTTGCCATCACTGTTGAAGATAAGTTGGCAAGATCTGCCGAGCATTTGTTCCAGCAAAGGCAATAAAGCCAAAAGGCTGTGATGGAGGAGGAGGCTGGTTAGGAGAAGGTTATTTTGGTGGTGGTGGATCGGGAACAGAGGAGGGTTCCGATTCAAAAGGAACATGAGCAGCAGGAAAATCTGGTCAAAATAGTCAGAGGAGCTAGTATCCTCTACATTGACACGCTCAGAAAAGGATGTTTTGACAAAAGTTCTTTTACTCCTTCTAAGTCCCTTCTGAAACACGGGAATAAAAATTCTCTCTTCTTCACTCTCAGTATCCGTACTGGTTTTCCCCTCAATGTACACCCTCTCCAACCCCCTTGCTATCGTCTCCCTTACTGCCATCCCCTTCACCCTTTTCTTCCTTACTCTCAAGATTAGGTTCATCACCCTCGCCAAACCTGTCCTTCCTCTTCTTTTCTTTCCCTTCCTTTTTTGTTTTCTGTTTTCAATCCTTCGGCATAAGCGTTGAATCCGAAACTCCTACCTACCTAAAACCAGATTTGCTTAGGCTAGGGTTGGAAATTGAGGGAGGGAAAATTCAATTTATCCCACAAACGAAGGATGGGAAACAGAAAACAAAAAAGGAAGGGAAAGAAAAGAAGAGGAAGGAGAAGGTTAGCAAGGGTGATGAACCTAATCTTGAGAGTGAGGAAGAAAAGGGTGAAGGGGATGGCAGTAAGGGAGACGGTAGCAAGGGAGTTGGCGAGGGTG